TGGACTGCTGTGTTTACCTTGCTAATTAAGGTTGGTTTTAACCTAGCAGTGGCAGAGCAAGGATTGGAACACTTAGAAAGTGTTTGCAGTGTTGGAGGAGTTCGATATCTAACATAAAAACCAGCAGCAGTCAACATTACATCTCTTGAACTTATCATATAAGTAAGTGGAACTGGAGTAAGATCTGCACAGGTCAAGCTAACATATAAGATACTGATAAGTATTTTATCAGCAAGTGGTTAGAGCACTTCCCAAAACTGATTTTCGATTGGCCCAGTTTTGAGCAATAAATCCATCCAACAAATCAGTTAGCCCAGCCAGAGCAAAAACACGTGGTGCAATGTGAAAATCCTCTTCAATAATCAAATAGCCCAAAACTGGGGCCAAGCCAATTCTCATGAATATGTTGTCTCATGACAACATATTCAGGATTGTTGATGGGTTTTCATACAGGCTGGCGGTGCTTGCAAGGCCCCCCATGAGATGCATGCCACTTGTGAAGCCAGCATGGCGTGGACGCAGGTGGCGGGAGCTCTGCAGCCTGGGGCACTGGTGAACCACTTCTCCATTGAGTCCCTGAAATCTTGGAGAACCTTGGACGCCTGCATGCTAGTTTTCAAATCCCAGCCAAATTTCTTCTTTTAAATCCAATTTGAGACTATCTTTTAATTGAGGAGTTTGGCTCATTTACATTTATTGTAAAAGTATTTGTTGTATAATTATTGCAATTGTAATTACTGTAATTAGGACTAATTGTAGTTGTTAAATCAGGACGTTCTTTTGTCATCTTATTTCATATTTTCTATTTGCCACACATTCTTTGCATTTATTTTTTCTCCTTTCCTGTATCCATGGGGCAGCTCTTTCTGCTGGTTTACATGCTATGTTCTGCTTTGGTTCCTACTGCTGCTTCCCATAAGCCCCCTCCCTGTTCGTTTACCCAGATTGATTTCTTAGTCTTGTCTTCATCTACGTCTTCCTTCTGACAAGATAAATGCCTCAGCATGTCCTCACTTCCCTCATCTCCACCCTCCCTCTCTCTGTTGTGCTGGTATTATCTAGAATTTTAGTTCTAGATTGCTACGTAGTTTGCACATAGATTGTAGATTGTATGTTTATTTTCTTTAGTCGTTGTTTCTTGGACAAAAGTAAACTCTACTGAGTTATTTTATCACTTCTTATTTCTCCTTGTGTAATGTCTCCTGTGTTGGGTCTCTTCTTACTTGAACACTGCCTCCAAGAGTGATTTCAAAGTCGACTCTTGGTAGAGTGTCTTAAGATCTTATATGCCTGAGAATATCTTTATTACATCCTCATATTGAAATGATAATTTAACATTTTGGGTACAAAGTTCTTTTCTTTCAATACTTAAAGGTGTAATTCCATTGTCTTCTTGAATCCAGAGCTGTCTTTGAGAAGTCTGATGTCGTCTGAGTTTTAGGATTTCTCTCTGCTTTTGATGTCTTGTAGTCCCTAGACCGTCCAAGTGTGGGGAATCCTTCTCTCTCCTGGTTGGATATGTTTCTCCTTCAGTTACCTGTATCTGTCAGGCCTTCTTTCTCTCTCTTTTCCTTCTGGGAGACTTCCTCAGTCAGACCGCAGCTCCTGTCCCCCTGCTGGTCATTCCATCTATTATTTCTTGGGTCAGTGATTATAGTTTCATCCCTAACCTTCCCACGTGGGTGTTTTGATTACTCCTTTTTCCTGCTGCCTGTCCTCTGAGGATATTGGTTTCTCTGGCTTTGGCTCTGGTGCTGCTTGGCCCTGCTCCAAGCGGTGGATGTGGCCCGATTGACCGTCTGTCTCCTGAAGAGGCTGCCCTGCTCAGGACTCTACGGCCATGAGCTTTGAGGGGGCCTAGGTTTGGTCCAGGGTTTCGGGGGAGGCAACCTGGAGTGGGGAGGCAGTGAGCCCCTGGCAAGCCAACCCCCCCAGAACCCTTAGCCACCTTGCTGACCCCCTCCCTGTTGTCTGCCCTCCTTGGCCACCTCCTGTGTTGGAAGCTTGGCTTTCGTGGGAGGCTCAATGGCCGTCCTTGGGCTTTGGGGGCCACTGTGGGGAGGAGTCAATGCCCCGAAGTGTGTGTTTCCACTGCTCCCCACCATGGTCGGCCACCCTGGGCCAAGCTGACCTCTGTTTCTCCAAGTCTGAAAGCCCCCACCCCCGGGGAAACCCCCAAAGCTGTGGCCTGTGGTGGGGGCTGTTCCTCCAAGTTTTTCCCTCACAGTCAAGGCTTTTGCCTCCAACTTCCGTGGTCTCAGCCCACAGCCACACGGTTGATGGAGCATTTGCTCTGCAGAGGCCTGTTCTGAGGGTTTCCCCGGGTATCTCGCTTAGTCCTCATGGCACCCCCGAAGCAGGGCAGCCATTATCCTTATTTCACACATGAGGAAATCGAGACCTGAGAGGCTCAGGCATAGAGGTAGATGTGTGGGACACAGGACTTGAACCACGCTCAGGCTCTTGCTCATAAATGCCCAGCACACAGTGGTGCTCAATAAGGGCCAGGGGGTGGGGGATGTGGAGGAGGGACCCGGCCCTGCCCTCCACGTCATCACAGCCTGGGGTGTGGACAGAGAAGAGGACGGACGATTAAGGGTCGAGCATGAGGAGGGAGGAGGAATCTGAGGAGCCCAGCCTGAGCATAGAGCGATCATCAGGAGGGGGTTCACATGGTGGGGGGACCGTGGGGCTCTACCTCATGTGTAGCCTCTGGTTGCTGGGTGGGGTCAGGCCTAGCGATGCCTCAGATGACATGGTGCCCCTGGAGTGGGCACCATGGTGCTGTCTGCTTATCTCTCAGGTGTTGCTTCAGACAAGTGGGCAAGGCAGAGCTATGGCAGGAGCTGAGGGGCGGGGGCAGTGGGAAGGACAGCTGGCTTGGAGTGAGCATGGACCCCACTCCCCTAAATTACAGCTGGGGAAACTGAGGCCCAGAAGAGCAGGACTTGTCCAAGGCCACACTGTTGAGTGGTCAAGAATGGGGACCAGGGGCTGGCCTGGTGGCGCAAGCGGTTAAGTGCACGCGCTCCGCTGTGGCGGCCTGGGGTTCGCTGGTTCGGATCCCGGGCACGCACCGACGTACCGCTTGGCAAGCCATGCTGTGGCGGCATCCCATATAAAGTGGAGGAAGATGGGCACGGATGTTAGCCCAGGGCCAGGCTTCCTCAGCAAAAAAAGAAGAACAGGCACAGATGTTAGCTCAGGGCTGATCATCCTCATAAAAAAAAAAAAAAAAAAGAATGGGGACCAGAAATCGGCAGGCAGCTGAGAGACACCTGCTGTATACCCGGCTCTGCAGGGTGACTTGCATTTACTCCAGGGGTCCCTGGGGGGCTGGCATGCTGGGACGTTGCATCCCTTCTCTTTTTCCCCTGGCCACCGTTTGGGTCTCAGCTGCAGGCCCTGGTGCCCTCCACGAGAACCACTGAGATCATGTCCCAAGCTGCTTAAGCCCGAGGGGTCCTGGTGACTCCCTGCCCCGGCTAACACACATCCCACCACCCAGAGAGAACCAATGTCGACACTCCGTCTGTTCTTCCATTATGTCAGCCGTGCAGACGTGAAAATACAGTCACGTATTTAAACAACCACGTGCACCCGCGTGTGCTTTATAAATGTGGGGTCATACACACATTCTGCACCCAACTTGTACCGTTCATGGTGTTTTGTGAAGGTCCTAGTGAAGCTATAGATTCTTCATGGCGCCATTACAACGCCTGCTGTATGTGTGTGCCATACTCAATATGGCAATTCTCTTATTTGGAAACTTCGGTCATTTCTCAGTCATTAGTTTTCGTATTGAAAGAACACTGCACTGGATATTGCTGTAGTTTTGTTTCTGTGCCCAAAGATCATCTCCCAAAGATACAATTCTAGAAGTGGTATTTCCAAGTAAAAGGGACATCATACTTGAATGACATTTTAATCTTTAGGGGGTGAAGGGCTGCCTCATTCTAGTTGATGTTCCATTGGTAACGGTCACTTTTGCTGTTTGTACATTCGTATCCGAGTATTTGTCTTCTTCCTATTGATTGATAAGGCTCTTTATAAATTAAACATATTAGCCCTTGTTCTGTAATTATTTCTCAAACAGCCCCTCCCTGAGTTTTTAGATGCTCGTCATTTTCTATGTTTGTAGTGATTTTATAGAGAGAGGTTTTAGGAGTTCCCGCGCAGTTGATTGTATTAGTTTTGTCTTTGCAACTTTGAGAGAAGATTCATCGGCACAGGATGGGGTGGGGGTGGGCAGCACAGTCTGATGTTTCCGGCCCAGAGTCCGGAAGGACCCGGCCACCATTCACACCACACAGGGGCACCTGTTTCCCACTGGGAGGCAAGTTCCCCAAGGTCCCATCGCCTCAACAGGAGCACACACAGGGAGGGCCCTTTGTTAGGACACCCAGGTGACGGCTGCCAGCTCCCCTCCCTCCATCCCCATCTTATTCTGTGGTGGAGGTAGGTAGGTGAGGGCGAGTGAAGGGGGGTAGGGGATGGTGGGGGGGTGAGTGGAGGGGCAGGAGAGGGGCGGTGAGAGCTCTGCTTGAGTCATCCCTGCTCCAGCCTGTGGGGCACCCTCTGGGCTGAAATGGGGCAGTGCCCCTTTCTCCTCTTTCCTTCCTCAAAAGTCTCACACAGTCACACAAAGTGCAAAAGTCCTAGGAGACACTTGGGGCTGGTGTCAGGCAAGCCTCCCCTCCTCCGCTCCAAGCTGGTTGAGAGACAGACGCTGGGGTCAGAATGGGGAGAAGAGAAGCACTTTATTTCTGGCAATGGCTGCCCCCACCCGACCCCGCATCAGACTGCCTGCTGCCCCTGGCTGCAGCAGGACAAAGAGGCTTTCTCCCTGGTGGCTCCAAGGTGCCAGGGGCAGCTGGGCAGGGAGAGCAGGGCAGCCTGAGGGCATGAGGCAGCCAAGGAAGGCTTCCTGGAGGAGGTGCTGGGAGCCTGATTGCTGCGGGGAGCTGCCTGCATGTCAGCGCTGGGTTAGCCCATCTTCTCGGAGCTCCACCCAGGCAAAGGGAGGCCTGGGGGGCTCACAGGTCTCACTGGTACTGGTTGGGGGTGGACACTGTGTTGCGACGGCTGTAGGACATGTCTTCATACACCACACACACAGAGTTCTTATCCCTTGCCCAGCAGAGTTTCTTGATCTGAAAGATACAGCCTGTCATCTCCCAACAGGGGGCCAGCTCCCTCTGGGGCACCCTCTTTCTTCAATGCACACCCTTCTAGGACGCTTTTAGATTTTAGCCTTGAAACGCCGCTGTGCCTCTGGACCTGCGTGAAGCCATGTCTCAAGCGGCCTCGGCCAGCCCCCCAGGTCTCCTGAGCTGCCCCAGCCCTGGGCGAGGGAGTAGGGGCAGCCCAGGGGCAGCGGCAGGGAGGTTGGAAGTGACCTTGCCCCCAGGGACCTGGACAGGGATGGGAGCTCATGGCGCTGGGCAAGGGCAGGGGTGGGGGGCAAACAAAGGAGTGACCAGGGGCAAAGCTGACTGATTCCTGGCCCCTGTCTCCATCACCTCCTTCCCCTCCCACCTGCAGCACACAGTCACACACGTTCACATTCACATGCACACTCACATATGCACACACATGACACATGCTCACACACGTGCATACTCTCACAGTCACAAGCAGGCATCCCCCAGCTCTCTGAACGGGTTTCTCTGGACCCTCCTCCCACTCTCGCCCTCAAATTGCTGACCAGGACGTCCTCCCAGGCTCCACGCCAGTCCCCGGCCCGCCCTGTATCCTTAGGACTTGGTCTCAGCTCCAGTTCTTGAGTTTCCCTCCCACCTTTGACCCTCCCATCCAAACCCTCGGAGCTCCGGGGGACCCTGACGGAGGGGACAGGTGGATGCTGGGGTTTCCCACGTGGCCAGCTCCCTGGCTTAACCGCTCTCCTTCCCTCCCTGCGCTCTGAGATGAGCCGGCTTATAGGGATGCAGGTGACAGCTGGGGGGGTTCACACTGACCTGGGTCCTCCTCAGCACACACACCGCCCCCAGCCCCAGCCCGATGAGGAGGAAGCCTGCAGCCAGGGCTGTGGGGAGGGCAGGGTGTATCAGCCGAGCCTCTTGGCATGTGTTCACTACTTGGGACAGGTTGTCTGGGAAGAAGGAACAGAGAGAGGCAGTTGGCAGGTAGGGGAGTCCATGAGAGCCTTTGGGGTTCAGAGCAGGGAGGGGCTCTGTGGTGGAGGGGGGCCATCCAGGAGGCTTCCTGGAGGAGGTGGGCTCAAGTTGGAAGGAACCACTCAAGCAAGTGTAGATGGAAGTTTCCCAGACAGGGTCAGGTGGAGGCTGGCTGGCCTGGCCAGCAGGTAGGTGGAATGGTCCCAGGGTGGCACGCTCCCTACCTGTCACGATGACCAAGGTGCCGGGGCCCCAGATCTCCATGACGTTCTCCATGACGGCCTGGCAGGTGTAGACGCCAGTGTCGGCCATCTGCAGGTGGTGCATGGTGACGGTCAAGTTGTGCTGTGGCCCCGAGAAGGCAATGCGGCTCCCAAACCACTCATCCACGGTGGGCTCCCTCTCATCCTCATAGTAAATCACATTGGTGGGCTTCGGCCAGCTTTGCTTCAGGTAGACCCCGAGCAGGGGCCCGCTGGTGGAGCAGGTGATATTGATGGAGCCCTCCTCTGGGGCGATGATGTAGGAGGGCGACTGCTGCACCTCTACAGGGAGGACCTGCTGCTGTCACCACCTGCCTGGCCAGAGGAGCAGGGACTCGCTCCTCTGCAGGGGATGGTGGCGGGATGGAGGGGCCCTGGGACAGCCCACTGCTGACTTGTCACCACGGATGAGACACGTTGCGGGAGCCTTAGAGCAGCTCAGGGCGGCAGCACTCAGCGCTGTACTCAAGTGCTGTACTAGAGTGCTGAAGGGGCTACGGGGGCTGGGCCATCTGCGACCTCTCCCCACCCTGAAGTTTGGGGGAAGTGGGAGCCGGGGCTTCTTCCTTCCAAAGCAGCCGACACTCCCCTGGGCGGCTCTGAGTTTCCCTGGCTCCACGCCTTCTCCCTCTCTTAAAGGACAGTCCCTGAGATAGCAGGAGGCACTGTTCTGTCTCCCTCTCTCTTTCCAATGCTGGCTGCCTCAGTTTCCCCACGTTTCCAGGCAGCTGGAGCTGGTGGCTGTGAGGTGGGCACATCCTGGCTTGTCTATGGGAACCAGAAACGTCCGTCCTCTGCCCAGCTGGGGCCCAGCAGGACCAGCTTCCCGGTGCAGACACAACCTTCCTTAACATAATCCAAACATCAGCTTCTCCGCAAACTAAATTCTACAGCTCTTGCTTTCTTTTTTGCCTTCTTTCTCTCTTTCTTTTTTTTGCCACGAGGATTGTGCCTGCCGATCCCCCCACCCCACATTGTGTCACTGGTCTTTCTATCTTACTGCAGAACTTCACACACGTCGCTGTTTTAACAAGCAAACTGAAGGGCAGAGTTCTCTCATGACAAAGGCCACCTCGCTAACCATAGAAGAGAAAGCCCCGGACACTCAGGTAGAGAGAAAGAAGAGCTCAAAGCCGGTGATTCTACTGCCGGTTGTTTTGTGACAGGTGCTCAAGGCTCTCCAGGGGGCTCTGTAGGAAGGTCACGCTCAGCATCCCCAGACCACCCCCTTCCAGGGAAGGAGCGTCCCCAGGTGGGGGCTGCGCAGGCGGCTGGGTAGGGGCGTGGTGGGGGAAGCGCTTACCTTGGGTGGCCAGGGCCCTGGGCAGGTTGCAGACAAGGGCCAGGAGCACGGGGAGCAGAAGGAGCCCCAGGGCCATGCTCTTTGCCACCCTGCCCACCGCAGACCCAGTGACAAGCAAAAGGCAGGACCCCCTCTCACAGCCGGCCGCCAAGACTCTTCCTGTCTGCAGCACCCAACTACGTGTTGCCACCTCGGAGGCGCCGCACCAAAAGTCTCGATGAAAGGTCATTTCCCAGGAGTCGAGGCAAGACAGAGCAGGAGGCTGGCAGGGAGGATGGCAGGTGGTGACTTGTGGTCAGGGCGCTCCAGGAGGGCTTCCTGGAGGTGGAGCCATGGGCGAGAGGAGGCTCTGCAGATCAGGCTGGGAGGGGTGGCCCTCGTTCCCTTAACACTGTCCTGCTGGGTGCCCACAGGGTAACTGGTTGTCCTGGTTCCCTGCCCCTGCTGTGTCTCCACAGGGCACATGAGGGGAGAGGAGATAGGAGGGCGAGGCCAGAGGGTTGGGGCAGGACCGGGAGAAAGACAAGGGGGCCCCCTGGGTGGGGTGGGGGTCAGGCTCCAGCCTCCCTTGTCCTCTGGGTCACTTTCTGCTGGAACTTGATTTACGCCCAGAAATCTGGCATGTCACGTCAGTCACCTCGCAGTGTGGGGGCGGGACAGGGTTTGGCGGGGGGCTAGCAGCAGGGCCTCGAGGGCCTTGTAAGGACCCAGACCCAGTATTTCCTTCCAAGTGTCCTGCCTGGGGTGTGCAGGGGCCAAATGGCTTTTGTGGGCCCCTCCCACCTTGATATCAACATTAAAATGACCTTTGATATCACTTTAAATGCACTGACACTTTTGGTCTGTTTCAGGCAAGGTGGAATAGATTTCCGTGGCCCCCAAAGCATGGAGGCCCCGGGTGCTGTGCCCACTGTGTCTGGTGGGTGTCAGTCTGGCTCTGGGACGGGCCTGGCCTGATGGTGGCACCAACCCAGCTTTGCAGTGGCTTGGGAGGCCACAGTCACCAGGCACCACGCAGGGCCTCCAGTTTGGGGTTCCTCGCACTGAGCGACGACTTCCAGGTGTCTGCGTCTTTCAGATACCTTAGGACTTTTTAGAGCTTTAAGACATGAAGCAGCTTCTTTTAGATTTTTATGTTTTCTTCCACTTAAAAAATATTGTATTTCCTAGCTCATTTGATGGTTTATTGATTAGTTTATTTTATTCACCTGAAGGATTTAGCATACGGGATGTTTTTCAAAGCGTTGAATGTAGAACTTCTAGAAAAAACCCTATATGTATCTAGTAAGACTTCTGGCATAAACGGGTTTGGGATGGTGAAGGGCCAGTAAGCGGGGCAGATGGGGGAGGGGAGCCCCGGGGCTGGGAGAGGTGGGGGTGTGGAACGACCAGGCAGAGCCACTTGTCGGGCCTTCCTTAGGGAAGGGCTCCCTCGGCCGCGCCCCCTGGTGGAGCGGGGCGACGCACCATCTCAGGCCTCATCCCTGCTGCTGGCCCTCGCCACCGCTGGCAGGAGGGTCCCCAAACTTGTTCTTGCTCAGAGTCAAAAGACAGGAGTGTGCCCGAGATCAACTTAAGACCAAAAACTGGGGCGTCTCTGAGGTTACCAGCGTGCCCCTCCTGCTCCTGAGGCCGGAGCACTGGGAGGAAGAGCCCAGGCCCCTGGCCCGTGATGGGTGATGAGGGAGAGCATCCTATTAGGTCAATGCTTTGAAACTTGGATTTTTGTATTTTTGGCCAGAGGATGAGGGAGCCGAGAGAGCTGCTGAGGAGTAAGTGGGAAGGGCCTGTGCTGCCAGCCTTCCCGCGAGGCCACAGTCCACTCTTTGCGTAGGCCCCGGAGTCCCCACTCCGCGGAAGGACCCGCTCGCTGCCTGACGTCCACACATTGGGCAGGACTCCGGGGCCGGCAGACCTGGGTTACGTGTTCACAGGCATCTGTCAGCCAGGTGGGGGGCGTGGGACAAGCAGGGCTCCATTGCTGGGGCTGCGACCACACTGTGCTGGCAGCCTCGGGGTCAGGATGGGGCTCCTGGGGCCTGAAGCCGGATGCTCCCTGGGCTGGATCACCCTCCTGATGGGCCTACGCTCCTCGGGCTCCGAACCAGCTCATCTGGGGACTGAGGGACGACAGCTGTGAGTGGAAACCTGTGTGCACAGACACTCAGGCACAGGGTCTGCAGCACACCCACCACACACGTGCTTACACACACACCCAGGGACACCCACTACACACACACAGCACACTCACCGCGCCCATACATCCTAGGTCTCCTGGAAGGAGCAGGAAGTCCAGCCTCCCCACCCATGCTGTCCTCCAGGTTATCCTGGGGACTAAGTGAGGACTTGAAGGACAATGGGGACCCAGGGGCCTGGTTGGGACTGCTGTAGACAGCTGGGGTCCTCTGGGGGAGGGCCACTGGCTCTCTGGGACCCCACACTCCCCCCTACTCCCCATAGCCCTGGTGCGTGTAAGGCCAGGGAGCCCAGTGTCCAGGCCAGATCCGGGATGACCCCCACCTGAGTCCCCCCGCTGGCCCACAGACCGGAGCAGGGCCTCGTACTTGGGGAAGCTTTGAGAACTTCGAGGAACGGCACCTTCTGTACCAGGCCCACATGCCGACCACCAGGATGGAGAGTGTGACAATGACAAGGATGACAAGGACCACGTCAGACTGGCTCCCCACCTCGGACAGGGGGCGTGGCAACTCTGGGCCTGCAGGAAGCAGGCGGGAAGCCTCCATCAGATGTTCACTAGCTCATCACTCCGCACCTGGAGTGAACCTGAGAGGAGACATCACTTCCCGTGGCCTGGGAGTGGGAGAGCGGCAGGGGTGACAGGGTGTGCAGGATGGGCACGGGCGCCAGGCACAGAGGGTACCTGGGCACAGGCTCTTCATCTGTGCTTTGGGGTAAGGATGCAAACACCTACCTGAAGAAGGTGTGAAGAGCAGGTCCTCGGGCTCTGCCAAGGAGACATGGGCAGGTTAGGGGGCCTGTCCAGGCCCAGCCCTGGTGCAACCCCCACCCCCGGCCCCAGGTGGCAGATGAGACCTGGATACTGGAATCCACGAAGGGCTTTCTGGGTCCCCCTCCCAGGGCCTGGCCAGTCTGGGGCACCATTCTCAGCCCCCCTCGCTGCCCCTGGCTGAGTGGGCAAAGTTGAACAGCTGCTCTCTGCCCCCAGCGCTCAGGGTGACCATGACTGGATTAGAACCGGGTGTGGGGGGCGGTGGAGACTTGGGGAGTTTTGCAGCAAAGGAAGGGGTGGGGGTGGGGCAGCAGGGTGGAGAGGAGGTTTTAGGTGTCATTGCCCTTGTGCAGATGGAGGTGGGGGTTGGGGGGCCACGTCCAGCGCACACGTGCAGGGGCAGCCCTGGGGAGGGGGCTTGCGTTCCAGTGGGAGGTCATGGAGGGGGGCACAGAGGTTGGGGGGCGGCGGGAGGGCAGCTTGGTGTCCTTCTCTGCTAATTGCTTCCATTGTCTCAGTGAATCAAGTAAGTAGCCAGATCCTGGGTGAGAGCGAGGGGTGGAAAAGTAGGCAGAGGGGCTGGTGGGGGAGCAGGGAGGTGGTCACTGTGGCCACAGGGGTATGGCGAGTGCCATATGGATTTAACCAGCATGTCCTGGAGGAGGCGTGGGGGCAGTGGTGAGGAGCGGGTGCAAGTGGAGTGAGGGGTAAAGTGGGAGGGCGTGGTCAGAGAGGGGTCCTGGTCTGGGGGTAGTGCTGGCTCTTCAGGTGGACAGTGTCCAGGGTAAGGCTGCGGGAGTGGGGGCGCTGCTAGAGAAGGCGAGGGGACCACAGGGCCTCTGGGTGATGTCAGGAACGGATAGCAGCAGAGCTTCCTCTGGTTTCATTTTGCTGGAATCCAGGCCTGCCCTCCCCGGGCCCCATCCTCACTGCTGGGGAACTTCAGGGGACGAGACAGGAAGATGCCTGGGGGGGTCGAGATGCCCCTCCCTCCCCCTCCCCCGCCTCCACCTGAGACATTCAGGGTGGTGGTTGCAACGCTTCTCTGGCGTCCTTGGAGATGCCACTTGTACTGGCCAGCCTGGGCGTCTGAGGCGTCCTCAATCACCAGCTGTGCCACGCCTCCTTGAACCCGCAGCTGCCACCCAGCCCAGGATAAGTGTCCTGGGGCGACCTCCCTGAAGATGTGCTGGCAGTCCTTCCCGGGGGCCGGACGCAGGCAGATGGTGACGCGGGAGAAGGGGTTGGAGATGTTGCAGGCCATTATGGCGTGCTCCCCCCTGGACACAGACACCACGCCCTTGGTGCAGGTAGGGTTGTCCCAGCCTATGCGGAGGGGAAGGTCACTCGTGTGGGTCATGGCTGGGCCTCAGGACATTCAGTGACTGCCCTCCGTGGGGGCACTGATATTCCCTGGGGCCTGGGCCTGAACTCAGTCTGCTTTTTCCATCCCTGCCTCACCCCTGCTGGACCCCCTGGCAGAGAGAGTGGGACCCCGAGACTTACTTCCTCTCTGAGCACTCAGGGAGGCAGCCAGGAGCAGGAGGGCCCAGACCATCTTGGTAACGGGGAGGGGGGATGCCAAGGTCAGCATGGCCAGCAGGATGGGCAGGCAGGCCTCAGGGGTCCCACATCTTCCTCAGTGGTTCTTGGGACACTCCCTGGAGGAAGGAGAGCCAATGGGTCAGAGGCCCCCTGGCCTGCTGCAGAGGCCGATGAGAGCAGCCACAGCCTGGTCAGAGGCAGGCAGGGGTCCGTGAATGCTGGAGCCACCGCCCTGACTCTTCTCCATGCAGCCTGCCCCCCCATCCCCCTGCCCTTCTCAGTGCCTTTATAATGTGTGCGGTACTGGCCACCATCCGATGAGACAGGAAACAAGGTGTTGGGCGATAACCCTCCGTACATCGGGGTTTATCCTTTCAGTTTCATAGTAAAACGTGCATCGTGTGTCCTATGGAAACAGCTGGTGCCACATAGACTCTCTGGTGCCCACTTTGGACTGACACTGTCCTAAGACCCCCTAGATGCCCCCAGCCCTCTACCTCCTCACGCATTCTGCGGCTGGGCATGCCGGCTTCATTTTGGCACCTATTAAGGGGACATTTGGCCCACTTGCCGATTTTTTTTATCAACAAAGAGTCTTCCTGTGGAACTCACAAGTTATAATCCGGGAAACTGGGATTTTTGCTTCCTCTGAAACAAGCCCATCTCAGGCGCCATGAAACTGACATTCATCCTGATTAAACTATTTAAAAGAATTTTAAAATTGTTTGCCAGACCATTTGTTGACTCTTTGATTTAAAATAATAATAATAATGATAGACTTTTCTGTTTTGTTTTTGAGCAGTTTTAGGTTTACAGAAAAATTGGGCAGAAAGTGCCAAGAATTCCCATATGCTGCGCCCCCCCGCTAGTTTCTCCTATTACTAGCGTCTTGCCTTAGCGTGGTGTATCTGTAAAATCAATGAGCCGACAGTGACGCATGATCACTGACCAGGGTCCAGAGTGTACCTTACGGCTTACCCGTGGCGTTGGACAGAATGTGGGTCTGGACACATGTATAACGACACGTATCCACATTACGGTATCACACAAACTAATTCTACTGCCTGAAAATCCCCTGCGCTCCTGCATCCCCCTCCTCCCACCCCTGGAGACCCCTGATCTTTTTACTGTCTCCATAGTTTTGCTTTTCCGTGAATGTCATAGAGTTGGGACCCTCTGGTGTGGTTTTTTTTTTTTTTTTTTGGTGAAGAAGATTGGCCCTGAGCTAACATCTGTGCCAATCTTCCTCTATTTTGTATATGTGATGCCGCCACAGCATGGCTTGACGAGCAGTGCATAGGTCCACACCTGGGATTCGAACCCGAGAACCCTGGGTCATCAAAGCAGAGTGAGAAAACTTAACCACCATGCACCCGGCCAGCCCCGACCCTTTGGTTTTGAATGCAGCTGTTTCTGATTTTCTTTCCAGTTTGGGGGGGGGTGGGGTGGAAGGGTAGGTGGGCCTCCTTCTGCAATCTTGCCCACCCAGACTGGGCAACCCACTGCAAGGAGGCAGCTGCAGGTCCCGAGACATCATGAGTGCAACTTACCCCGGGAGCTGAGCCCTGTCCCAGCCACCCAGGGGGCAGACTTCTCCAGCGCGCCTCCCCAGGTGTGTCGCTTCTGAGCTGGTGTGGCTGGTGCTGCTGCCTCCAGGCTTCCTCTGGTTGATTTTCTAAACTTGTTTCTATTCCCAATTTATCATCACAGGGAGGGTAGCTTTCTTTCCTCATGATATATGTACCACATTTGTAAAGCAACAACAGGCAACAGAGAAGAGCTGAGGAAGAAAGAACCACCTGAAAGACATCACCTAAGAGAAGCGGTGGACACTCAGGGCCCGTCTTTCAAGTGTGTTCTTGTGCACGCGTGTACACGCACATTCATGTGATTTTACATAAGTGGAATCATATTAGACAAGATGCTTAATCAAAGATACTCCCTTGCCACCCCTCCTCCCTCCTTTCTCCCTCTGAACCGTATGTCCTTGGGTGAATGGTGGCCCCCAAAAGACATGTCCACCCAGAACCTGTGAATGTGACCTTATTTGGAAATAGGGTCTTTGCAGACGTAATTAGTTACGATCAGGTCAATTGGAGTAGGGTGGGCCCTAAATCCAGTATGACTGGTATCCTTATAAGAAGAGGGAAATTCAGACACAACGAGAGAGACACTCAGGGAGAAGCCACAGGACAATGGAGGCAGAGAGTATGTGATGCAGCTCCAGCCCAAGAATGGCAGAGACACCAGAAGCTGGAAGAGACAGGAAGGATGCTCCCCTGAAGCCTTAGGAGGGAGCGGGTCCCTGTTGACACCTGAATTTTGAACTTCTGGCCTCCAGAACTGGGAAAGGATAAACTTCTGTTGTCTTAAACCCTCCTGTGTGGTCCTTTGTTACGGCTGCCCTAGGACGCTCACACACTTTCCCCTCCCCTAACCCCACAGCTGCACCCCAGTGACCACGTGACTCCAGCTTTCTCCTCACTCACTCGGATAAACCTGCATAAACCCCAGACACACGGAGGGAGCATTTTGGGGTCGTGTTATGTCCATTTCTCTGCATCTGGTTCTTGCTTGGCAGTGAGCTGGGGGTACTCTTGATTTCAGTGGCTGCGTGAGGGCCGCCTCTTCCCCACAGCCCCAGCGCCACCTGCCTCCCTCATCTAAGCTTCTGCAGGTGACACTGACGCTCACTGGGCCTCACAGGCATCTCCTGACTGCAGAGCGACCGGCCGTCTCATCCTGGTACTGGCTCTTTGGGTTTCCAAAAGAGCCCTCCCCCAGCACTGGCTGTGTGCCTGCGTGTTGTCACTGCCTTTGCAAATCCTTTGCCCATTTTTCTGAGATTGTCTGTCTTCTCCTCACGGGTTTATAAGATGTTCGTGTTTTAAACAAACCATCATCCATGAAGAAAACGCGTTCCCTGGTTGATCATTTCTCCCTTGATCGTTTCCGGAATAAGAGGACTCTACATGTTTATGTCGTCCAGTCTGTCTTTTCCTTGAAAGCTTCAAGGTTTTGTTTTAAAAGTGTTTTTTGTTTGTTTGTTTAAAGTGTCCTTTTGAAAAGGCCTCCCAGAGCGTAGAGAATCCACGGATGGCTAAATTTTATCTATTTTTGTGTTCAAATCTTGAATCCACCTCAAAGTCATTTTGCATTGACTTGTGACAGGCCAGTTCTGTTCTTCCAGAGGAGGGCAAGTTGTGCCCGAGGCATTTATTGAGTGAGACGCCCCGTCCCCCTGGCAGAGGCACCTGGCCACGCTGGGCCATCAGGACCTGCCATCGGCCATCTCCACCCGAGACACTGCCGCGGGTCTCAAGCTGTCTGTTGCCTGTTTGTCTGTCTTCACCCCTGGGAAGGCAACTTCTCCCTTAGTGCTCTGTTAATCTTTTCTTAGACGTTTGTTTTCCACAAGAACGTTAACATAATTTTAATCAATTTCTTTTTTTCAGAACCAGGAATTTGGTGATTGAATGGGAGAGGCGGCTGCCTTCATCCTGCCCAAACCTGCTTGGAATGACGTGATAGAGGCTGAGATTTCACAGTTGGACACAGTCCAGTGGCAGCCTTTCCAGTTTCGTGGCCTGTCAGCAGTAGCCAGGATTGGGTGTAAACAGCTCATGGCCATTAAACATTGACAGGAGCCTTACGTGGATGGAAGGTTCTAGAAAGAGGTGTTGCAACTTCTCGTGCTGGGGCTTTTCCTGGCACCTCAGATAAGATCTGATCAATCCTTTCCCTGAATATTTTTACAAAATAACTTTTCTTAACTTGGAAGCTTCAGACACACGAAATGGCACCCAACGTCCCAAGGGGGCCAAAAGCATCCTTGCCGATCATTGGCCATCACTCCTGGCCCCCTGGCCAGAGGCCTCTGTGCCCACCTGAAGGGAGCCCCCTGCCCAGGCACTGTCCTTCTCCTGCCACTGGGCTGCACTCTGCAGGGTGTGGGCAGAAATTCACTGTGTGTGGTCTCACCTCTGGCCACTGTCCCCGCCCTAGAGGATGCCTTGGGCAGGCCCCTCAGTGTTTCCAGTATCCTTCTGCCTCAAGAACAGTCTACGGGGACCTTTGTGGGTCCCCAGAGGTCCCCCGGGGACTGCCCAGGGCTGCTCCCTTGTCACAGGGTCCAGGGCTTCTGCGGGGTTACAGCTCCCTCCCGGTGGTCTCCAGAGGACGCACTGGCCTCAGAGGACACCACCTTTGTCCCTAGATGATTGGTGGACACGCAGCTCTCTCTGCACTGACGCCTCTGGCCAGCCTCCATACAGCCTTTGGTGCCCACACTTCCCCAGCAGTCCAGTGTGGGTCCCAGTGCCCCAGTCTCCGGGGGCGGGAGGAGGCAGGCCAAGGTCTCCCCTGGCCAGAGGTGTCGGAGGACACGCTCCCTGGGAGGCCAGCCTGCTGACCCCAGGGCTCCAGCCCTTCAGGGATAGGTGAAGGCACACTTGAGCCAGCAGGCAGGTGTCCTCAGGGCTACGTGGAGGATTCACTCCCAGAGAACCTGAACAAGAACACCCCCAGGTATCCAGCCCCATGACCTGGGCGCTGAGTGAGCCATGGAGCTTCCTGCTTGTGGCTTGGTGCACCCACCAAATGCCCAGCGGCATGGACATGGTGCCCTGAGTCCTCTGTCCAGACACATTTATTTCTACCACTTCGGGACTCAGCAGGAAGGGCAGGCATGCCCTCCCCAGAGGAGGGACCCAGGGGCCTGCAGTATGCTGAAGGAGGCCCTCTCCCTGGGAACCGTCCTCATCACACATTGTCCTGACTGTGTCCGGTGTTTATCCTTCCCAATAAATTTAGAGTTGTGTTTCAACTTTCAAGTAAATTTCCCAGCATGTCGATTGAGAACAAATGACTGGATGGGTTATTTCAGTCCTGAGCCTGAAAACCCCTGCGCCTTCCAGGGCCTCACTCCATGCAGACAGGGCGACCCAGCCTGGCTAAGCTACCTCCTCCTCCGAGCCTCCTGTGATGCGCTCCCTGACTCCCTGTGGCCCTGCCATACCCACACACATGGGCACGCAGGCACACAGCCAGTGCTGGGCGAGGGCCAGGCCCCATGTCACCATCTCTGATTCTGTCAGGGCCTCCCACGCGCTCTGCATATACACCAGGTGCTCAATCCTGAGGACCTGCGCAGCCTCCCCACCATGAAGGGCTTCATCAGTCCCCAGAGCAGTGGGCCCTGGACAGGCCGCCTCAGCCCAGTTGGGCAGGTCAAAAGTCAGCCTTGGTCCTCACCTGGACCAGGTGACATGGGGAGGTGGTGACCTCAGTGAAGGTGTGTTTATGTGACACATGCCAACCTGCCCAGCTGGACTTTGGGAGGGAGTATGTGAGCTGACAAGCAAAAGGAAAGTGAAAGGAAGGCGGCAGGGGGCAGGAGCCAGCTTCACACCCAGGGCGTGTTTGCAGTGCTGGCGGGGGTGGGGGAGTTCATGTGCTCTGGGCTGAGGACAGCTGCTTAGGGCAGCTCCAGTCCTGGCAGGGAGGAAGGACTGGGTGGAGGAGGCTGCAGCTTCCCCCTGGGCTGGGGCCAGATGTCAGGTCGACTCTTTCGGAACAAGAGGGCTGAGGACTCCCCCTCCCCAGGCTGGACTCCTCAAGGAGCAAGGAGTCAACCAATGGTGCAGAGCAACCTCCAGCAAGGGCAGTCCCACAGAGCTGTGCTGGGCTCCCCAGAGCAGGGGCCAGAGACTGGTCCAGGGGAGACCTCTAGCTCTGGGGCATGATGTCCAGAGACTGCCCAGAACCGTGGACAAGTTTTAACTCATCTGAACCAAATCTGTAAAACAGAGACAGAAACTTCTGCCTCATAGAAGCACAGGAGGAGCTGCCTGCAAAGAGCTGGGCTAGAAATGGAAGAAGCTGGACTGGAGCTGGAGGGAACTGGACTGGAGCTGGAGGGAACTGGACTGGAGCTGGAGGGAACTGGACTGGAGCTGGAGGGAACTGGATTGGAGGTGAAGAGAGCTAGGCTAGACTGGAGATGGAGGGAGCTCCCCAATATCTTCATGCACATCCGGCTGCCCTAGCTGTCTGGGGCTCTGACGCTGTGCTTGGTCCCGTCTGGCTCTGGCCAATGGCCTGGGGCCCTCCCTTTGGACCTGGGCTTAGATCTGAGCCAGGCCCTATGCTTGGTCACCAACACTCAACCCCAGGCTTATCTTCAAGGACAGCGACCAGCACAGCTGCCCACTGAGCAGCCTAGACCTGCAGGGGGCTGACAGGGGAGTCAGGTCTGTCAGTTGGGGGTGCCCCTCTGCTCACTGCACCCTCCTGCCTTTGCGGCCACTCCCACTCCCAGGGAATCCCGTCCTTTCCTGGAAGCCAGGAGGTTGTCTCTGAATCTGTTTTGGAAGTGCTTCCAAGGACTTTGGACTTTCAGTCTGTGATTGAGTCATGGCTGGGCACTCTCTGGACATGGAGCCAAAGGCAGCAGAGGCCCCACAGAGCACTGTTTCCACTCCCCGCCCCCTGGCCTGCTGGCTCTGCCATCCATTCGTCCATTCCTGTGAGGGACAGGGTCCAGTCTCAGCCATCTCTGGACTTCACCCCTTACCCAGCATGGAGAGCTGTGCCCCCCACTGGCTCTCCAGTGGACAGTGGAACTCGCCACTGGGGAGGCACACCTGGCCTCCAAACCTCAGTGACCAGGTCCCGGAGGCCCCCAAGAGCCAGCTGCACACACTGGGCCGAGCTCTTCCTGCCTGGGTGGTGGCTCTGTCCACTCCCCACCCCTGCCAGCCCCCAGCGGCCCCAATTCTTGTAGTTGTTCCCCATTTGATGTTAAGAGCAGGCAAGTGGAGGGTCTATTTTCTCTCTAAAGCTGTCAACACCGAGCTGTGAGGTGGGCCCCGCAGTGCCCTCTCGCTTTCAGTAGGGTTGGGGCCATGGAGACCCCGGTGGGAGGTGAGGGCGGCAGGAGGGAGAAGTTCTCTCTAGCCTCCATCTCCTCCAAGGTCCCAGCACCCAGCGGCTTTGTGACGCCAGCCCTGACAGTTGGGCTTTGATTGTAATGCAAGTGCCTGACTTAAGCTTTGATTTCCAAGTGATCCACCTCAAACATGGCTATCTCCATCTCAGACAAACACATCAAGACCAGATAAAGAGCCAGGCTGTCCCCCTGCCCCAAGTTCCCTTTGCTTCAGAGATCTCTGAGTGACTTAGATAACTGACCATGTGGCCTCTTGTCCTTCCCTTCCCACGCCTTAATTCCTGCCCTTATGTTTTAAATGCAACAATAAAGAGTGAACCTGCAAAACCATAGGCCCCCACCTCGACCCCAATGAAAGCAGAACCCCAGGCTCACAGACTCTCTTCCTCTCCCTAAGACCTTGCTGTGGTCCCTCACCTGCTGTGTACCCTCCAGGCCTGTGAGTAATAAAACTTGTCTTTCAAAGTTTCCTGATGGTTTATGGCTGAGGGCATCTTGTAGTTGTAATGAGAACCACGAGGGCCAGTCCAGCCACACCCACACTGTTGGTTCAGAAAGGGGAACCCGGGCCCAGGTGAGTGTCCCCAGGCTCTATTCATAGGCTGAAACCAGCACAAAACAGGCCCAGACTCTTGTCCAGCTGGAGTGGAGGATCTGCACCGAGCACTGAGCTAGAAAGGTATCCACCCTGCCGAGCCCACCCAGCACCTGGCAGGTGCAGAGAAAGGTGCGAGTCCAATCACAGCAAGGACAGACTTTCCGCTGTCAATAAGCTTAAGCTATTTCCCTGTGGGCCACTGGCATGAAGCCACAGGGTCCAAAAGATGGGCCTAAAAACGACCGTCCTTGGCTTGAAAACGACCTGGAAGGACTCAGGAGACGCTGGGGCAGGCACAGGGAGGAAAGTGGCGGGACTGTTTCCACCCTTTCCTGGGAACCTCAGGAAGCCACCTAGTTTCCAGACCGGGAGGGCCCGGCTCCGTCTGAGCAGCAGCCCCGGATGCGTGGCGTCCACAGGGCCACCCTGTGAGCTGCAACATTCAGTCACTGCAGGGAATTTAATAGGAGAAAATTCACTCTAGTGAAACAGGCACCTGCCTCGGCTTGCCAGGCACAGTACAGACATCCAGGTGCGTTCAAATTTCAGATACGTGACCTATCATTTTGTAGTATAAGTATGTTCCATGCAATATTCGGGACATACTTGTATTTTAAAAATGATTCATTATGTGAAATCCAAATGTGTTTGTAAGTCTGACAGCACCACTGCTCTGCCTGAGTCTCTCACTTGTAGCCAACACTGCAAAGGACAGAAAAACCAGGGAGAGAGGCCAGGGTGCGACAGGGTAGGTGACAGGCGAGAAGCAGAAAGACCGCATGTGTGGGGCCAGGACTGGAGGGGCCTGGACACTTCGAGAGCTAGGAAACAAGGCAACAATTCAGGTTTTTCCCAACTCGCCAACACAGGAACTGCACGTGCATATATTAAGATTGGAGCGATACAGCCAGGGTCCCTTACCAAGGATGACTCACAGACTTGGGAGCTGTTCACATACAGGAGTCAGCGACACACTTTGGAAAGTGCCTGCTGCTGCCAGCACCTTGTCCCACTATGGGACCTTGGGAACACTAGGGGAGCCAGGGTTGTGAAAGTGTGAGTGTCAGTGGGACCAGGCACAGAGGCTTCTCAGTCAGCCTGGGTCTCCATCTCCACACGCCTTCCTGCCTGCTGCAGGGGCTCAGGTCCCTATGTCGATGTTTGTGTGGAAAGGCTGCGCACAACACTGACCCGAGTGGCCTTTCACCAACACTGTAGAGGGAGGTGACCGACCACCTCCAGAAGACAGCTGCAGCCTGAAAAGGCTGTGGACCCCAGCCTGCCCTTCGATGGAGGAAACGCCCCAGTCCAGGGTGCTGTTGCCCATGTCCTGGTCCCTGCTGCTGTGTCTGGGAGGGGACCTCAGCTGGGCAGTCAAGTCCTCAGGCCGAGGGTCAGCAAACCCTTCCCGCCTCACAGCATTTGCACATGCTGTCCCCTCTGCCCGGCTACCTCCTGCTCTTGGCGAGCCACCTCCTCTAAAAGCCCTCCTCCCGCGCGGCCAGCCCGGTTGCCTTTGCCACTCCTGCCCCGGCCCCTGCAGTTGGAAGCACATCTCCCCACCACCCTCGCTGTCACAGTCCCCAGACAGGATGGCTCCCAAGGGCTCTGGTTCCTCCACCCACAGGCATGGAAAGTGATTTTCAACTGCAGATCATTAACCTGCAGTGGGTGGTGAACTGAATTTAGTGATTGCTGCTGTGGTCAAACCAAAAATGAAAGGAGAACATGGAAAGCTGTGGTGGAGTGCCCTCCCTGGTTAGGTGAAGTCTCGGGCATTTCATTTCTGTTTTATGAGTGTTTGTGAGTGTATGTGATGTGTGTGCATGAGTATGTGTGTGAGTATCATAGGAGTGTGAGTGTGAGAGCTCATGAGTGTGCATGTGTGCCCCTGTGAGTGCACACAAGTGTGAGTGCCTCTGGGGCTGGGCCTGGACTTGAATGCATTTCGCCCCAGTCCTGTTCAGGGGTGGGAGGGGGCTCTGTCTAGACTCAGTGGACATCGGACGTCGGGAGCTCAAGATGCCACCTGTCCGCCCCTCCAAGGGTCGAGCCTGGGGGTGCGCTGCAGAGACGTATGTCCCTTCCGCAACACGCAGCCCCTGTCCTCTCCCCTCCCCCAACGCGCACCCTGAGCCTCTGGCTCCCTGGCTCGTGGACCCCGGCCGGCAAGAGTGGCCAGAGCGGGTGAGGGTTGGGGAGCTCCACTCTCCGGAGTCTCCATCCCCGCGGACCCGAGTACACGGAGCCCCCAACACCTGGAGCCCTACCCTTGTCCTCAGAGCCACCCACCACATCCCCAGCCCCTCCTGTCCTCCCCTCCTGCCTGCGCGCCCCTCACCTGCGCCCCTGCTCCGGACCCAAGTGGCTCCTCCACACCAGCAGCCACCACTTCTCTGTGCGCTGTGCTCCAACGGAGAGGAAGACAGACACACCAGGGCGGAGCCCGGGGAGGAGGCGGGGGGAATGAGGATCCAGCAAGAGGTGCGGCACCCAGACACAGGAAAACCAGAGTTATGGGAAATCACTCGAGTCTCAGGAACTGCCCTGAGTCCACAGAAAAAGTTTATGACTTTCTTAGTAGTGAATTCTTTATTATATTTTTATTAGAAGCACTTCATTAGATGGTCATTCTAAAGAAAACAGGAAAAGAGCAGGAGGCGCTTTTCCAGAAGAGCTGATGCCTAGAGCTCTCCACGCCCAAGCACTGAACAGATGTTTCTCGGGGAGCTGGGTGGGTTTACTTCCCTGAGAGGATCTGCACATTCTTGCACACAACAGGCAGCTGTGCCTGTGAGAATCCACAAGGAGCGTGTTAAGGCTGAGGGTCGTTGGAAATGCAAGTTGGGTTGGTCTGGAGGCAGGGCTGGGGCAAGCAGGCAGGAGTGAAGGGCACACTCACTCCGAGCCTGGGTAGAAGGTTGAACTGCCCTTAATTAGGCCTTGAGCTGAGGGGACCCCTCCTCTCAGCTCCCTCCCCACTGAGGGTCCTACTAGGTGGGTGTGGAGACACACTGTGGACAAACTCAGGGGTCCTGGAGGCACACTTGTGGACGGCCATCCCCAGAGGGTGAAGGCCAGCACCGCTGACCTCGGAGAAGGATTCCAAGTGGGGAGTTCATTATCAGATTTGTTCGTGTCTCAGGTTTGGGGGCTTATTGTAAAAGTTGCTGTGATGAAAGTTTCTCTTTGAGTACCTGACAGAGGGAATGTGGAGGCACTTGTGTGAGTCCCCCAAATGGCGAGGGCAGAGGTGTTGGAGTCACTCTTCACGGGACTCTGTGGCTGGCTGTCTTTCAGGTTGCTGAAGGGAAGCGGCTTGTAGACTTGAATCCTGAGTCTCTGGTCCGTGTCCGGCCTCACCAGCCCAGGCCCAGCTGTCGTTAGTACAGACCAGAGAGGTGGCTGCTGGTCCTCTGTCCACTCATTGTCACTCCCACTGACCAAACTGCTTGAACTCTCCAAGCTTCAGCTTCCTCATCACAGAGGGGCCAGTGTGCGGATCCAGCACAAAGACGGTCCCTGTCCCGTGAGCTTACACCTGCGGCAGTGGAGCCATGAGTCAACTGACCATGAGAAACAAGGAGATCCCGTGGGAGCAGGTGCAGGGACCTGGCCTGGCTTCTTGGGGAGCAGGGCAGTTTGGGGACAGCGTTCAGCAGGGGGTGCTGGGACAGGGGATGGCCTAGGGGCCAGGAGAAGGGGTTTGTCTCCAACTAAAGTGACCTGGGAATCTGCGGGACAGGGATGTCTGTCGTCAGACCTGCACTTCCAGAAGCCCATGGGAAGGTGGGGGTGGAGAGAAACGAGTCTGGAGGTCCTTGCAGTGGTTCTGTAGGGTGTCTGTGGTGGGATGGGGAAGGGCTGGAGGTGCACGGAGGCAGGAGAACCCACAGATGTTGGCAGTTTGGATGTGGGGTAGGGGGCCTGGAGAACCCCAGTGCTGGCATGTGGGCAATTCCCTTCCATTGGAACCCAAGGTGATACACTGGCAGGGTGGAATGGGGTAAGGACCAAAATGTGTCTCTGGGACACCAGGGGAGAAGTCCCCACAGCTGTGGGCTCATGGATGGGCAAGTCTTTGTTGGGCAGGCCGTGACAGTTGTCCGGGATGGGCAATTCCCTACTTTCATGAGAAGAGAAGACACAGAACCAAATTCTGGGGAACCCTCCAATTTTGGGGATGGCAGAGGAGGGGCCCAGAGAGGACTTGGCAGAATGTCCCAGTTGCCCCACAGGTGGAGTGTCTAGAACCTCCCAGGCAGTCAGAGGGCGAGAAGAGTCATCTCTCCAGATGGACTTGGGACCTGAAGGTCATCCAGCAGCCAGGCATCCAGCTGGGCAAAACAGATCAAAGTCCTCAGGGACATTCCAAGGGAGCAACAGCTGCTCGTGTGCAGATAAAACTCAGAGCTGACTGCCCTCACAGGAAGACGCACTGTGGTCAGTGTGAAACTCAGACCCCCCGCCCCCCACAGAGGGTGCAGAGGCCAGAGGCCTGGCCCCACCCTGAGGGCCAACAAGGCACTAGAGAAAGGCCCCACAAATGACGAACCACGCTGGGGACCGAAATGCCACCCGCCACGTCCTCTGTGCCTGTCCCCTGGGCCCATCTCTCACCCCTGGGCTGGAAGGAGGGGCTTGTCCCCAGGGCCACATCCCAATTCAGCCCTTCCTTCCCCTCCTAGGGTCTTTCTCTCAGCAGGGGCTCCTGGCAGCAGCATGTGGCTGCCAAGTCCCTGGGGCATTGGGCTGTTCAGGCAGGATGGCAGGAGGGTCCCACACGAGGAGTGGCCTTGAACATCCACTGAGGGCTTGGAGTCTTTCATCCCCGGGCAACAAGATGCTGTTGGGAGTTTGATGCAAATACACACCCTGATAAAGCATTTATGTATCTTGAAAATGAAACTAGTTTGTTTATTTTGAAACTAATACAGAAGGCTTACAAAACCACTCAAATGCTATAAGAAGATACAATAAAACCAACTGTGGTGTGTCTCATTGCAACTCTTTCACTTCCCAGAGGAAATGCCTGTAGACATTTGCTTCTATAACTTTCTAGAAATTTTCTGTGTATATACAAACGCACACCGGCATCCAATGTGCGTATCTTTTTCCATTTTTATACGATCCTGGGATCTCTCTTAGGATGGCACACAGCTCCTCCATTCCCTGCCTTTCTCTTTCTGTGGGGTGTTTAACCTTCCATTTTCCTGAATCACAGCTTCTGCTAAATCACATGATGCCTGGAGTTTCATTTTCTTTTGGTTCTAGGAATTTGTAAATTTCAGTTATGATTTCCTATTTAACTAAAAAGTTATCCATCAGCATGTTCTAGATTTTATTTTATTTATTTTTTCCCCCCAAAGCCCCAGTAGATAGTTGTACGTCACAGCTGCACATCCTTCTAGTTGCTGTATGTGGGACGCGGCCTCAGCATGGCCGGAGAAACAGTGTGTCGGTGCGCGCCCGGGATCCGAACCCCGGCCGCCAGCAGCGGAGCACGCGCACTTAACCTCCAAGCCAGGGGGCCGGCCCCAATCAGCATGTTCTTAATATTCCAGATGTGTTGCAATGTTTCTTTTTGTTACCAACTTGTAACTTCATTCCGACTTCTCTCTTCATACTTGGGTTCCCCCACAAAACCTGTTGCCGTTTTGTGCATGCGCCAGTTGTCACACACGTGATCAATTCTTGTGAATGCCTTGTGTGTCCTTGAGACGTGTGTGTATTCTCTGATGGTTGAAGCAGAGCGCTAGCTGTCAAGGTGGTCACTGGTGTAGTGTAGATCCTCTATGTACTTGCCAGTTCTTATTGGCTATCAATAATTGAGTGAGGTGGAATCTCTTGCTGTGATGGGGGATTATCAATTTCTCCCTGTAGTTTTAGCAATCTTTAGTCATATATTTGAAAGCTATTTTATTCCATCCAAAAATATTTTATTTATTCCTTTACTTTTTTGTGAGGAAGATCAACCCTGAGCTAACATCCAAAAATATTTTAAATTGCTATATTTTCATGGTAAGCGGAGCCTTTATCAGTAGATAGTGACCGTCTCCACCCTAATCATCCGATTTTTGTGTGTGTGTGTGAGGAAGATTGGCCCTGAGCTAGCATCTTGTCTTGACATGAGTACAGCCATGTTTGGCCGCTCCATTGATCTACAGCCACCAGCACAAAAAGAAATATAAAAGCTGCTTTTTGCGTGGTGGGAACTGACCCTTCTCCCACGGAGAGAGTTACGAGTTGTAACATTTCAAGGCTCTTGGAGCGTCGTAGCTCGGGATGGACTGGCCATCTGTGCCGGGCTAAGACGATAACCAAAGAGAACAATGCACGTACACAATTACTGGGCTGGGACGTTAGCCAAGGGGCTCAGTGCATGTACGCCACTGATAACCATTTGTGCATGGGAACACTAGATGCTTGCTCTGCAAACTCTGTAACTGCTTATATAAACTGCTGGAGACTGAGACCCGCTGAGAGTTCCACCTGTGGAAGGAATGCCTTGCCCAGGACGTGTGATCCTTGCCCAGCCGTGTCGATTGACAGGGCTTTCCCGGCAGTGGGGCGCGGATGTTGTGAGTAATTGATTTATTGTGAAGTAACTGATTTAATGTGTTCTCTTGTCGGTCAACCTGGTGTTTCTCTTTCCGGTTGATTTGTGTCATTTCCCTTCAGTCGATCTGGTGTTTCCCTTTCCGGTCGATCTGATGTTTTTCCCTCTTATTATATGACCTATTCGGATCTGCTGCTATCTCAGCCGATGTGGATGTTTTCCCTTTCCAGTGGAGCTGGTGTTTTTTCCCTCTTATTATTTGACCTATTCGGATCTGTTTGCAGACTATTGCCTTTACTATCCTCTATATAATAAAATATACCTTCAGTCCATTTGTTTGGAGTAAAAAATTTCTTTTACGTCTCCGATCAAATCCCCAAACCTCTCATAACACATCTGTTGTCAATCCTCCTCTTTTTGCTTGAGGAAGATTGTCCCTGAGCTAACATCTGTGCCCATCTTCCTCTATGTTGTATGTGGGTCACCACCTCAGCATGGCTGATGAGTGGTGTAGGTCTGTGCCTGGGATCCGGGCTGTGAACCCCAGGCTGCCAAAGCAGAGCGTGCCAAACTTAACCACTGCGCCACCGATCCGGCCCCCCAATTTGTTTTAAAGTCTCTTTTGTCTGATATCAGTGGAGCAACAGCAACTTTGTTTGGTTAGAATATTTCCGATAGATCATTTTCCAGACTTTTGCTTTCAGCTATTGTGTGTCCACATGCTTTATTTACATCTCTTGTAAGCAGAAAACATCTAGATTTTTATCCCTTCTGACAATCTCTGACTTTCACCCAGTAGTGAGTCCACTTCTATTCATC